GACAATAGACAACCTCAGAAACATAGCAGTCTTATTACGACGTTCAATACTAGCAATAGCTGACATATATGTACCAGAGAAACCAGCGTTCGACTCAGCCCTGTGGCATTCTGGCAAAATTACTTTTAGCTGAGCATCCGGAAAGCCGGAAACGGTGAACTCCTCAACTTGGGAGATCCTGTCGACACTATACAGAGCCAAATCGAATACTTCGAATGAGAATAATCATATGGCTAGATATATTCGAATAGTATATAAACATGAGTCCGTGCCAAATATTTTTCGAAAATTCGGGTATTTCCATTTGGCAAATGGATCTATTCAATTCGATCCACTGTCTCTTCGACAGCCTCACCCGCCACGTGCGGAGACCATCATTTTGGGTGTCGAACTGCGAGGTACAGCGGAAGTTTATCCAATGATTACATTTTTTCGGGACACCCTGTACGTTAGTTTCTGTACGCGAGATGATTAACGAGTCAGGCTATCTTTGAGAATGATGATGAAACGCAATTATTCCTATAGTGCCAAGATAGCTTACCGTCTTTCATCGAAATATGAAATGCCAGTACGAGAACGAAATGGAGGTGCGCGGATCAATGGAAAATGATCTGGCAGATCTATGTGAGCCTGTCTCCAGCATGACTGGAAATATACCGTCCAACCGATATAGGAATGTACATGTTAGCGTACTAACATCGCACATAAACTTAAGACATCGCAATCTGGGGCAGAAGTTTCTCGTCTTCACTGTTTGGCAAATTTCGCATTCTACTGGACGCATTAGATATGGTTGTAACTCCACCTGTTAAGAAAGAGTCAGTTTGGCTAGCTTGATTTACTGAAATCAGTTGTCAGGGATACCTTCTTAATATGTTCACCAAAGTTTATTGGAACGTAACGGCAAGCGCAAGCGGCTACAAATGCTTCGCGATCACGAAACACAACACAGCCAGCTCCTTTCGGATAGTCCGTCTCTAGTTCCACCTTGAATAGTTTTTTTTTAATCAGAAGAAACAAGATTTGGATAATCCGTTTATTCTGTAACGCATAATGTTACAAACTAGAGAAAAATCGGAGTAATTACCTCGATACGCGCAAAGAGTACATCACCAAACGATAGGGACATGTAATACGCAAGCTGCTCTGAAAAGAAGAAACTTCCAAGGCTTGTTCTACCACATCGCTGTTGTGCAATAACATTTTAGAAATGGGAACATTGACGCAAGCGTAGGGACGTGTGCTCTATTGCCTCCGTTCTCTTGGTCAAACATACTGCATAGACCCTACCACTTAATAGGTGTAAACATTTTTATCGATATGTAAAGTAAAGAACTCTTATTGTACGGACA